CCATGGAGCTCAGAGAATACCAACATTGAATTCAAGACTCAACTTCTATATTTAATTCTACTTATACTCTTTTTAAACAATCAAAAACCTATATTGGGTTAATAGATTTCCATTTTCGGTGGGAATCTGGAGATCGTTATAGTCCGATCAGGAAGCTGAAAATCAAATATATGGCTCTGATCATAAATTTACTAGCTTGGAATTTTTATTCCAAATGGAAAATAAAAATAAACTAGAGTACCGTTTTTGATTTCTACATTCCCCAGGGAAAACCATGTCATATCAAGGACAGTGGAAGAATCGGTGGAGAGGTGTAGATTACCTAGAGAAAAGTAGGGAGATCGATGAACTTACTTGAAGAATGAATATGGAGCAGTGGGAAGAAAGTTTTGTCTGTCATCCCAATGGCTAGAGCCAACATTAGCAGATAAAAGTTACAGGGCGATTTTAATTCAATGTATGAAAGGGAAAATAAAATTTCCAACGTTTGTGCTAACCACCGAAAGGGGGTGTCATGAGATGGCAAGGAGCCCCCTCACAGGAGGAATCCGGGCGATCAGGAAGGGAAGGAAGACTTGCAGTGGCTGAGAGGTGGTTGCCCGAAGCGGACAACCTAAGAGGTAGGTGGTACCAAGGGCTGTTCCGTCTCTAAAGCTCTGTGTTCTCGTCGCTGTAACTCACCAGCGCTCCCTTCAGGTCCCTGAGGGCAGAGCGTGGCTGGTGAATGGTGCATTCGAAGCGCTGAGGTTCTGCTAGCTGATCAACCTCTTGCGCCATCTGAAGAAAAAGAATATGATTCTTGTAGATGGAAATAAAGGAATGAAATAGGATTTTTCATTTCCACTAAAAATCGTCTGTGGAAATGAGGTCAAGGTGGATGTGGGACAGATCAACCTCCAGAATTGGCAATTCTATATGCTTTAAGAACGTAGATCCATCGTCAGCCGTTTTTATGGATTGGCGTAGGGTTCTGGAAGTGATGGTGATAATGTGGAGAGAGAATATTTTCTCTCTAGAGATGATGAGAATGAGATACTTCTAACCTCATGAGGGGAGTTTATAAAAAATATGTTTATAGTTAGTTATGAATAGGATTGATTTTTGTTTTCTAGTTTTTACGAAGTATGTCATAATTAAATGAGAGTTGCTTCACATATAATCTGTGAAAAAGAGACTTCAAATTCCGTGGTTTCTTTATTTTATACTAAATTATTTTTATTGTTTCTTCAGAAAGAGAGATTTCGTGCCAATGAAAACTAAGTGGTTTTAAGTTTCTCTAGCTAAGTTTCCCATTCTCAGGCCTATACTAAGTGTCCCAGCCCTGAATCACTCATCCTTTAGGGCCCAGTTTGTTTCTTGTTAACTTAAAACAAGAACTATTTGTTTGTTTGTTTGTTTGTTTGTTTGTCGTTAACTTAAAACAAGAACTGTTTGTTTGTTTGTTTGTTTGTTTTTATTAATCCACTCACATTGTTTGGATTAAACAGCTAACATATATGACCTCTCTCATGTAATCCTTACATGACCCTAAGAAGTCATATTTAATAGATCGACCAAGTACTCTGTTAATGCTGGTAGTAGTACTGAAATCTAATTTATATGAAATCAAATCCAGCATATTTTCCAGCATATAATTTGTCTCCTTGAGCTTGCTAACTCCTCTGCTCTAGTGGCCTCCAGCCTCTTTGCTATATATAAAAGAAATTAAAGAGCATGCACCCTTGATAAGGATACTTATTTACATGTTATAAAAATGTAATGCTGACTGATCTCATATTGTAGATAGTTTTAAAAGATGAAATAAAACAAACAAACAAAAAAAGCAGAAGCCCTAAGATGTTCTTTCCAGATCCCAAAGAATCATCTTGCCCTAGAGACCTTGGCTCCATCCCATTGTACAACTCACTGCTTTGCACTCCTTGCTGTATTCTCTTGGAATTATTCTTATTCTTTGCCTCATTAGTCCCCATCTGAATTGAAAGCAGGAA